TTTATATTCTAAAACTACAGTCGGACAATTTACAACACAATTATGAACAATTGAAAAGAAACATCGGTTGACAAAAAATGTGATCAAATATCAAAGAATAATTACAACTAGTTCGACCCTTGGCCTTTACAAAAAAAAGTACGAAAACGGCGACAACAAACATCGGTCTGCTACAAATACAATGTACACGACAATGAATAGCTACAAATGCATTCGAGTCAATAGACAACCAAGCAAACCAAGATTTACACAATCCTAAAGCCATCAACTTCATGTAGTAGGTAATAGGGCGCCAAAACATGCGACGCCAATCTCAGCATTCATTTCAAAAAGTCACCGTAGTAAATATACAACGTCACAACAAGCATCGGTCTACAAACAAATGCAGTGAAGGATAATTAAACTAGTTCGAGAAACAAAAAGCTATAGGTTTTACAGCTTGTAACACACTTATTTACAAGATAAACCGGTATAACTAGTTAAAAACAGGAATGGGCAAGATAAAAAGAAAAAGAAAAAAATGCAATGAAGCTATGAGAGATAAACATCAGCAAAATCACACAATTATTGTGCTATCATCATATATTCAACATATCATGAAAGAGTCAGCATCAGTGTTTTCCACGCTTATCCATATTCCTAACAGCCAAGAACAACGACGCGTGGAACATGAAGTTGGACGGTGACATGTACGACAGCTGCGGCTGGATCCTGATCAGACCGGAGTTGGCTTGCTCGTTCACCTGAGAGTTTATGTCGTTGATTTCAAGTGAAGCGCTGTAGCTATCCATACAGTAACCCAACGAGCAGCCAACTTGTTCCTGTTACAACAACTGCAAAGGGCCTCGGGTTTACTTTTGACAGTACTTTATCCTGGCAAGCACATGTAAAGTCAGCAGTTTCCAAGGCATCCAGCAGGCTGCATTATCTGCGGTTACTGACAAAACAAGGAATGAGTGTCGCCGACTTGGTGCAGGTGTATCTGTCGCTGATTCGCCCTATACTAGAGTATGGTCATGTTTTGCTCGTTGGCTGTAGTGACGAGCTGTCCACTAGTATGGAACGAGTACAAAAACGCGCTGTGCGCATCATCTCCCTCGGGGAAAGCGAACAGTTCCAAAGCTCCCTTCTTTGAAAGAAAGGAGGGAAGCGGCCGCTTTGAAGCTGTTCACAGCTATGATAAAGCCTGAGCACCCACTACA